TTCGTTGTGAAAGCGAAACTACTTTGTTTGGTCTTCCAAAAGAGGACGATATCTGCTTCGTCATGCCTAGAGCTGATCCGTGCTGGTCGCTGAGGGAATACATCAACTTTCACCGTGGACGAAGCGGAGTCCAGCCCAGGGTCGTCACATGTGGGTGCCGCTCATTCGTCGCATCCGCGGGGCATGCCGTTCTCGACCCCACCGCCTCAGCTCACTCTATCCCGGCCCGATGCAATGCAATGCGTAAAAAGACAGTATAAGTCATTATAATCAGTAATTATGTCCCCACTGGATGCAATAAATGCCTTGTTTGTAATGGGCTTTCATGTTTTTGAATCATCGCTTCAGCCTGACACGGCATCACAATATGGTAAGGGGCGTAACATTTCCGTCACACGCTTGAGGTATTCGGCCAATCACAACACACTGGATAGCTGGCCAATCACAGCACACCTCGCTTTTCAGACCGATGAACTTTGTAAAAATCAACGCGTTTCAAAAAGGTGGGGCGTAGAGGAGAAACAGTAATGTACAGTATGTGGAAAATAATGTGTTTTTTTTTACTTTAAACCGCATAAACACATTTCATTACACCAAATACACAAAATAATGTTCTTTTTAGCAGCGTCATATGACCCCTTTAAAGTGTGTGTGTGTGTTTGTGCAGGCAAGGGAGCTGATGTAATTCTGGACTGTTAGTGGATCTTTTTGGGAGAAGAACATTTGTAGCCTTGCAATAGATGGACGATGGGTGCTTGATGGCATGTTGGGAGGTAAAACAGCAGATGGTGACTTGCTTGGCAAGCTTTTGAGGAAGCGAGGCCATCTCCTTTGCAGTCTCCTCAGATCAAGACGTTTACAGGTTAGACTCAATAATACTAGGACCTTCAGATTGCATTGTTTCTTCATAAATTCACCCAAAAATAAAGATTCTTCCATTATATATTCAAACCTCATGTCACTCCAAACCCTTATGCTGTTTTTTTTGCCTGTTTGAACTCTTTTGATGATGTATAATGAAGGCCAAATAAAGTGCTTTTGCTTTCACCTAGAAACACACAGCGTCTCCCTGACATGCTGCTTCAACACTAACTGCGGTTACTGAAACCACGCCTTCTTTCTTTGCATGAACATTTGGGCGGCATTATGCTAATATTTCCACATAGTGAGGTAGATATGTGGGGGCGTGTTAGAACGAGCCGTTTTAGGGGGGCGTGGCAGAGTCTTAACTTTGATAAAGAATATCTCTTTGGTTTTGAGACTTTAGTCTTTGCAACTTCAGGGATCTTATCTATGCACAATCAGCTTGTAACACTCCACAGACAGGAAAACTTGAAATCGCATAATATGACCCCTTTAATAAACATTCCAGTTTTTTGACAAAATAAGATTGAAGATTTTTTAAATTATATATATATGTATCAGCTTTAATGCACTTACCAAAATAACAAAAACAGCAAATGTCAAAAGTTTTGTTCTAATGACAAAAAGAAGTATTTAGAATGTATCACTTAACTTATAATCTTCAAAGGAGTGGGAAAATATGTTCAAATACTTAATGTCAAAATAAGATTTTTCAAAATTCACAAAATCTGTCATTTTCGGTTGCTTTTTGGATGCCGTAAAATATCCACAGATGCAACAGAAAACATCTGGCTGATGTTTGCATTTTCTTCTGTCACTGGCCATAATTTTAACCTTGAAATCAAGATTAGCCATTAAAAAATGTCTTCAGAATCATTCATGCATATTAAAATCAGCTGAGAATTGAAGAAATAGTTGTAATCTGGCTCAGAGGAAGATAGTAACCATGTCTTTGTGCAGTTTTTGCTGCTAATTAAGCAACAGTACAAGATTCTTCACCTTACAAATGCTTGTTGAAAGCAAAAATGGAATCGGCAGCCCAAAATTAGTAAGAAACAAGTATTAGATTTCATTCAGCAAACACGAAGACGAGCGGTGTAATCGCCTAATTGTTTTCTATTTTTGGGTTCAGGCGCTCCTGGGATTGGGAATGATCTTCACATGTTGCTGCTGCTTTTGCTGCTGTTGTTGCTGTTGCGGTAAATGTGGCGGTTCGGAGAACGAAGACAATGTCCACTGTGTGGATCCAGATGAGCTGGAGGCGGAGATGTCAGAGGAGCAGAACAGAGGTGAGGAGCGGGAGCTCTGGAGACTGCAAACACAAGCTTACCAGATTCTGCCTGTAATTGTTAATAAAGAAGAGAGCACTGTAAATCATGCAAATCACTGTATTTTTTGTGATTTACAGGCAATGACACAGTAATAACAGGACAGCCTATTCCCAGTCCTGCACCTGGAAATTCAGGTGAACAACAAATGTGTTTTTGTGTGATAGATAGATAGATAATAGTAAGATTTTTTCTAATACTTTTATTCAGCAAGGGCACATGAAATTGATCAAAAGTGAAGGTAAAGACATTTGAAAATTAAATTTGCATCACAGGAATAAATTACATTTCGAATTACATTCAAATAGAAAACCGTTATTTTAAAATGTAATATTTTTTCACAATATTACTGTTTTTATCAGTACATTCACTGTATTTTTAATCAAATAAATGCAGCCTTGGTGAGCATGAACAAATAGTAGTGCATAAAAATAGTGGAATTATCATATAAATAGTCAAATTCATCAATCACGAAACACTCATTGAAGTGACGTCTTGCTAATATTGCTAACTCTTCTTATTTTGTTTCTATTATTTTAACTATTACTTTCTTTGTGTTGTTTAACAGGAGACACTGTGATTGTAGGAATGCCTATTCCTAAAAGCTCAGGTGAATATCAGCACTAGTTATTAGCAATAGCACGTTATATTCCGTGTGATGTGATGTACTTTTTGGCAACAAAATGGCATTAAGATTCTGATTCTGAGGGTTATTTTGCTGTGTTATCGTGCAGATGGAGACACTTCTGTACTGATCACTCCAGATGTACATGTGGCACATGAATAGAGCAAACAACAACAACCTCTAGACTTGTTGAGGAGACTGTCTCTTCCCTGTTTCTGGCTGTAGAAATGTGTTCGAGCGTCAGTGGTTTATATTACACAGTGCTTGTGCGGTTTATGCGGCTCATTCTCCACACATAATGCTATTTTTTGTTTACATCATTTTATAATTACCTTTTGGTTGCTTGAATGTCTCATGATTTTTATTGCAGAGACACTTTATTGTAATGCTTCAATGATGCGCCATTTAAAGCAGCTATGTGTAGTTTTGTGTATTTTTGCGACTTTAGAGCCCCCAACAGTTGAGTGAGTCGTAAATATAGCTAAAAACGTACATACAGTTGCTTTAAATGACCTCTAGAGTACAATCAAACATATCTTGCACAACAAAGTCAACCTGAAGTAATACCATAAAAATGTTCTGTTTATATAACAACAGCAGATTAACTGATTTGCTTGATTTATTTTTCTATTTACCATCTCGTACACTGTGTATATGTTAAACCATGCTTTTCCAGTGAAACCTAATACATGCATTTCGTGTGTATTACATCACAGTAATTATTAAGAACATAAAGTTTTTATTGTTAATGCTGTATTTGTACAATGTGAAGTCATTAAGTCTCCAATACATGATAAGGAATAAGTCCAACAGTATTTTTTTATCTGTATATGCACATAAACATTGATAGTTTATCTAACAGACAACTATATGTGGTTTATTTAGCTACCGTTGCAAGCAAACCTTGAAATAACCTAATTTGGTATGATGTAGATTTTTTGAAGATTCAAGCGACTGGTGATAAAGCAGGTGAATGTTTGGTTTATTGTGGTAATATTGCACGGCCTCAGGGATGGTTTTGTCTGAGATTCTGTGTGTAAAAACGTTTTGTTTATAATTGAAATTATATGATTTCTTTGTGGAATTATGAAAGATTAATAAATATAGTCGATTACTGTATCTACTGCTTTTAATGTGAGTTTCTTTGTCAGTTTATGTGAATCTGTACAGCAGTGAAATTTCTCTATGTGCAAGCAAAACAAAATCTGCTTTAAGAACCTTTTGCTAAAGTTCTGCAAACGTTATTTCTGAATGTTCAAAAGGTTTTTTCTCGGTTATGTTAATGTTAGATAAAAACATTAAAGGGGATTTTCAGTTTAGCAGACATTATGGAAATGTTGCTTTTGAAAGTTGTCTAAACCATCTGTAACTTTATGAGATTTGTAAATTATTCCATTCCTTTTTTACTCACAATTTGTACAGTGTCCCAACTTTTTTGGAATTGGGTTTGTAGTAACAGTTAAAAAAAACATTAGAAAACGTCCAACTGAAATGACTCAGAAAAACGTTCCATGGATAATGTTTAAATTGTGTTTTTGTGCTAACGTTTTGATAGCACCACATAACTTTAAACGAACATTCTGTGAACATTACTTGAAGAATGTTTGTTCAAAAATGACCTGTTCTGAGAAGGTTCCCTGTTAGCTGTGATGTCACGTGCAAATGTGAGCATCTGTTTTCCAAACCCTCCAGTTTTTTTCTTTCTTTATCGCTAGTTTTGCAATGTGACCTTGATGAAATCTAAACATGGTTTCACTGCACCGACACATTTTTCTGACATGTTATAGCAGCAGCGTGTGAAACAGCATATGGCTTTAGTCCAACTGCAAACTTGAAGTTTCACATAAGTTTATCTACAGTTTTACAATTTTTGACTTTTTGGCTTGTAAATACAAGCACGATTTTTTTTGTTAATTGTCTCCATAATGAATTTGTAGAACAAGCAGGACAAGACCATGACGGACTCGCTTGAACTTTTGGGGTAAGTCTCTTAAATTCAGTTAACCAATCTGACTTGTTTGAAGTATTTGATCTAGATTTCTTCATTCTGTTTCTTTTAGTCTTCTGGATAATTCAGAGGATGAATGCCTCGGCACTCAGTTTGAGTGTAAACGTGACACTCAAGCGTTACATTGTCACAGCCTGAAAGAAACAGGCTTGAAGCAGCAGGGCAAAACACGGGCCAGGAGGAGGTTACTCATCACATGTGCTGTGTGCTTGATCTTCATGATCGGAGAAGTCATTGGTGAGAATAAAAGGACATGCTCTGTTTAAAGGGTTTAGTCTGCTGTATAACCTGCTGATTGCAAAAGTAAATGGGCATGAACTTACTGTTATCTTTAGATGCATTTAAGACTTGTGTGCTGACGTTCTGCTCTTGCAGGTGGTTACGCTGCTCACAGTCTCGCTATAATGACCGATGCTGCACATCTTCTCACTGACTTTGGCAGCATTTCGATCAGTCTCTTCTCATTGTGGATTTCCTCTAGACCACCGTCCAAACATCTGACCTTTGGATGGCATCGATCAGGTGTGTGTGTGTATATATATATATATATATATATATATGTATATGTACGTACAAAGAAATGCTTACCACGGCTGCATTTATTTGATTATGAATACAGAAAAAACAGTAATACTGTGAAATATTATTGCAATTTAAAATAACTCTTTTCTATTTGAATATTTTTTCAAATGTAATTTATTCCTGTGATCAAAGCTGAATTTTCAGCATCATTACTCCAGTCTTCAGTGTCACATGATCCTTCAGAAATCCTTCTAATATGCCGATTTGATGCTCAAGAAACATTTATTATTATCAACAATGTTTTTGCTGCTTGGTATTTTAGTGGAAAACGTGCTACATTTTTTTCAGGATTTTTTGCTGAATAGAAAGTTCTCAAGAACAACATTTATCTGAAATATAAATCTTTCGTAACATTATAAATGTCTTTACTGTCACTTGTGATCAGTTTAATGCAACCTTGCTCAATAAAAGTGTGAAAAATATGAAGCAGCACAACTGTTTTCAACATTGATGATTATCAGAAATGTTTCATGAGCAGCAAATCAGCATATTAGAATGATTTCTGTGAAGTAATGGCTACTGAAAATTAAAAAATAAATTACATTTTAAAACGGTTATCGCTGTTAAATCGCTGTTATTACTGAATTTTTGATCAAATAATTTCAACCACTTCTCTCAAAAACACGAAAAATCTTAATGATTCCAAACTTTTGCCACATACAGTACATAACTATTCCATCTGTTCCACAGTGTTTCTGTCATTTGTTTCATCCAGAGGTTTTAGGGGCTCTTCTGTCTGTTCTGTCCATCTGGACAGTGACGGTGGTTCTTGTTCTCTTTGCTGTTCAGAGGCTCATCAGTGATGATTATGAGATACACAGTGACGTCATGATGATCACAGCTGCATGTGCTGTAGCGCTCAACATCTTGTGAGTGATGCTATTTGATTTCATTAGTAGTGTTTGTTGGGAAATGGCATCATCTTGTACAGTGTTTTCATGTGTGTTTCCATCAGTTTGGCATTCATTCTCCATCAGTCTCCGGTCCGTCACTCTCACAGTCACGGCCTCACAGAAGAGCACAGGAGCACCAGCGTGAGGGCCGCTTTCATTCACACGCTGGGAGATTTACTGCAGAGTTTAGGTGTGCTGCTGGCTGCCACCATCATCTACTTCAGGGTTTGTACATCATCGTTATTGACATACAAAAGTACTCAGACTTTCACTTGTGTGGATGCTTAGTCACACTTACAAATGTGTGAATGTGATTCATCAGCTCAAGTGTCTCAAATGCTGCAGGATCTTTTCACCTCAACGTTACTTTTCTTCATCATTAGTGCTCAATGTGTTTGAATCAGCTTGTTTTGGTAATTGTTAGTGGATGGATGAAGTCAGTCCTCCTCAAGTCCACACAGATGTAGATAATCAACGTAAATCAGCTTGATCCATTAACTAAAAAATGTTCTGTCAAGTAAACGGCATTTGTTTTTATATTTCATTATTTAATGCAGAAAACTTCTTTAACCTAAAATATTTACTTGAAGTGCCCTTGAGATTTTACGTTAATATTTTAAAGAGGTCATATGATGCAATTTCGAGTTTTCCTTTCTCTTTGGAGTGTTACAAGCTGTTCATGAATAGATGTTCATAAAGTTGCAAAGACTAAAGTCTCAAACCCAAAGAGATATTCTTTACAAAAAGTTAAGACTCGTGCACGCCCACCGGAAATGTCCCCATTTTGGCAAATTCAGACTGAATATTGTTCATGAGTCCAACATCTAGCCACGCAAGAAAACATGCAATCTACCCGAGGGAAGACGTGATGAAAAAGTCAAGTCCTCTTTAGTTAATGTTGTTAAATAGAGAGAAAAAAAACATGTAACATTTATAACTTCTAGCGTAATCTTAACCTTGGATCTCATTATTAAAACACAAAATTACCACACAAAAAAAGAAGTCTCAAAAGCAGCCACTAATAATTCTCCAAGTTCTCTTGAATTGAAAAAATATGCATTTTTATTCATTCATACAGTACATGTTGCAACTAAATTTTAGTTCAAAATTTTAAGTGCCATTGTTTAAAAAATGCTCTATTGACTGACATTTCATAGACATTCAGTTTTCAAATTTTTAAAAAATGTTATGCCATATGTATCTATCTAGCCTATCTTAAAAAATGGTGTTACACTTCATAAAACAGGAAAAAGTTAGAATTAGCAGGAAATCTGACTCTATGTTGCGATTGAACAGGACGTCACGTACATAAATACGTATTTAATTACAAATGATCTAATTAACATGGTGAAATGAACGTTACTTGCAGAAAGACAGCAAAACCACCATAAGCTGACTTGCTTAGCCCGGGCGAAATCATGAAGTCATGATTTTAGTACTGAAGTTTCAGGGTTGCCAGGATATTTAAAAAAGAAGCGCCCAATTGCTGCTAAAAACTACCGCTGGAAAACCGCGGACTTGGCAACACTGCGAAGTTGCGCAGGCGCTGTGAGGGGGGAACAGGGGAACTGAATTCGCCGGAACACCGGTTTCAATGTGGAAGCGTCAGCAGTTTCTGTATTTTAAAGGTTTTTTTGTCATTTAGCAGATGTGCAACCAATCACGTGTTGTGTTTATGTAGATAACAACCCTCTTATGATGCCTGTACAGGACATATAAACAGCTTAACCGGATGTGACGGAATCCCACTAGTATGTGGGGGGGCGGTTTATATCATGAATATTAATTAGGTCACCGCGTTCCAGCCAATCGTCATTTAGAACTACTCGGCGAACGTCGTCGTGGTACGTAATTAATATTCATAAGCCTTCATGCTGGCTTGTTTGCCGGTTTCAATATGTGGAAGCGTCAGCAGGTTTTTTTGTCATTTGGCAGATGTGCAACCAATCACGTGTTGTGTTTATGTAGATAACAACCCTCTTATGATGCCTGTACATACGGTCATTTTTTACAGTGTATATTTTGGGAGTATCTGTACTTTACTTGAGTTTTTATATTTCAGCCAACTTTTACTTTTACTCCACTACATTTCCTAATTAAAATGTATACTTTTACTCCGATACATTTCCCCCGAAGCATATTAGTTACTTACAGTGGTGTATAAAGTACCTGAAAGCCACATTCAAGTAAAAGTGCAGATATCCTACCAGAAAATGACTTTGGTAGAAGTTGAAGTCACCGTTTAGAATATTACTTGCGTAAAAGTCTTAAAGTATGTGATATTTATTGTACGAAAAGTATTTGATAAATCTTAACCCCTGTCACCGTCAGTTGCAGGACTGTAAATTGTTGTAATTTATGAACACTTTGGAATACAGACATAAGTATGGTCTCTTTTTAAAGAAGAAAATCAGCAGATTATCGCAAAAGTTGAATTAAAAAACTTTAAAAATGTAAAAAAAAAATTAAAGTATCAAAAAGTTATGGTAGTTTCAATTTACTGTAAAGAAAATGCACTATATTAATTTTATTTGATATATAATACATATTTTACATAACAGGTTTTACTCTAAAATTGGTATAACATTAAAGCCTTATGTCTAAATAAATTATGTTCCAAATTTGAAGTTGATATGAAAAAAATTGAGGTTCCTGTGAGATTTTATTTAGGGTGTTCTACCACAAACAGCCACCGGGTGCCATCCAAACTATTACATTTTTTTATGCATTGTTCTGTCACAAATGTCTAGATTTCTCTGTCAATATTACTTCTATCTCAAATTAACTGAGACCTTTCCAATGATATGTTTTTTGTCAAGATTATAAAAAGTTTTGATTGTAAAAGAGCGTAATACATTTTGTAATATGACACTTGACACCGCCCACCAAAAGATTTTAAAGTACCATTTCCATGGTAACGCAATGTCCGATTTCAAAAAGGTTTGCACAGGATGAATCTTGGGCTTCTAAGCTTTTTCAAATGATATATGATTTATGATGATTACTAAAAGACTTGATAGAGAAAAAAGGCAACAACAAAAGAGTGCCAAGCGTCAATGAAAGACACTACTGAATGAAGTGCTTCTTATTCTTACCCAACAATGCAAAATGGAAGAAAGAGTTCAAACTGAACACAATCTTGCTACTCAAGCTGTGTATGAACATTTTATGTATATTATTTATTTGATTCTTTTCCATTTTGCATTTACTTGTACTTTTACTTTCAATACTTAAGTATGTTTAAGATTTGTTAATACTGTTCGTACTTTAAGACTTTTACTCAAGTAATATTCTAAAGGGTGACTTCAACTTCTACCAAAGTCATTTTCTGGTAGGATATCTGTACTTTTACTTGAGTATGGCTTTCAGGTACTTTATACACCACTGAAAACATGAAAATATAATCACCACAAAAAAAAGTGACTATTTTCATGCAGTTATACACATTTCCACATGCCTTCTCTAGACATTTTACTTTTGGGTTTTATAGCAAAACACTGTAATACAAAAGTAATCTAACCTTAATTAAAGTAAAATGCCAGTGATGTGTGAAATACATTTTTTCCTCATTACAGTAGTAAGAATTAGATTTTATGCATTACATTGTGCATAACATTCATAAAAATAATGTCAGAATGCAATGCAAAATATCCAAATGGTCCTACAAAGTAAGCTACATTTTCTTTAATCAAACTATAATTTTCCTATTTATTTCAAGGTAAAAATAGCCTTGACAGGTACACTTTTGTAAAAAGGAGCCGTTTCAGTGGAGGCTGGTCACTTTGTCTATGTTTCTATTTATATATTTGAGGTTAATTGTACTTAATAGTTTTGTTTTCCAACAGGTGGTATTGGCAGGGCCAGAAACTCCCGTCTTATGTGAAGTTTATGGAGCAGAATTACCCACCCGGCTTCACCTACGCAAAATTTGCTCCTCAGTTCCGTGCTGAATTCTTTGATCCTAAAGATTGGGTTGACATTTTTGCCTCGTCTGGAGCCAAATATATTGTCCTCACAACCAAACATCATGAAGGTTTGCACCAACTGCAGTGTATCTGTCAACTGTAATTAGTTTACATAGTTACAATGTAATAATTGTTGTAAGAAAAATACTGTAAATAAAGTCTACGGAAAAACCATAAGATAATTTACCATATACAATGAAAATGGTAAAACAGTAAATGGTTTAACATTGCATTCTATGTAATTTTACTCTAAAATACTGCCACATTTTCGTTTTTTGGAAGTAAGCACTATGAATTATGAATTATACAATTTATACTTATTGACATTTCAAGGAGTCATCTCAGGACAATCAAATAAATTATATAGAAAATATAGGACAGAGAAGATGCATAATTTTGTCATGAATGCACAATAATATATATATATATTTTACTTTTGAACGGCAGTGTGTGTGTATATATATATATATATATATACACATTTATATATATATATACACTGCCGTTCAAAAGTTTGGGATCAGTAAGATTTTTATTACTTTTTAAAGAAGTCTCTTATGCTCACCAAGACTGCACATACAGAAAAACAGTAATATTGTGAAATATTATTACAATTTAAAATAACAGTGTTCTATTTTAATATACTTTAAAATATAATTTATTGCTGTGATCAATGTTGAATTTTCAGCATCATTCCTCCAGTCTTCAGTGTCACATGATCCTTCAGAATCATTCTAATATGCTGATTTTTTTCTAAAAACAGTTTTTGGTGCTTAATGTTTTTTTGGAACCTGTGATACTTTTTTCAGGATTATTTGATGAATAAAAAGAACAGCATTTCTGTCAGGACCACTATCGTCAAAGATGATTGACAATTAGCATACAGTTTGGATTGGCGGTATGGTTCTGTTCTGGGCAAGAACTCCCTGCGCATTCATGCAGCCTAGCATGGATGAGAGCAGGGAGAGCAGCGATAACCCCCCCAGGGTAAACAGAACAGAACCAACATAAATTTATTGCAGATATTGTTAAAGTTCAATAATTTTATGTACACATTTTAGAATGAGTCTGATTCAAAGGAGAATCAGAAGGCTGAATCCTGACTGACAGAGGAGGAGCTGGGGATGGAGGAGGGTAATTAGCTATTGAGCAATGTGAAAACTGCTGATAATACTGAGGGACCTTATATATGAATGCTTAGATAGATGTCGTATTCCTATAGGTAGATGGGGATCAGCTGAGAGTCAGCTGATGCGAGCTTGACTAACATAACCTGCCAGAACTAACGCTACGCTTGATTTATTCAAAATAGAAACCTTTTGTAACAATATAATTTTTCACTGTCACTTTTTATCAATTTTACACATCCTTGCTGAATAAAACTTTTGAATGGTAGTGTATATTGTTACAAAAGATTTCTATTTTAAGTAAATGCTGTTCTTTTTGTACTTTTTATTCATCAAAGAATCCTGAAAAAGTATCACAGGTTCCAAAAAAAAAAAGTTTCCAACATTGATAATATTTCGGAAGGATCATGTGACAATGAAGACTGAAATTTCAGCATTGCATCACAGGAATAAATTCTATTTTACATTATATTCACATAAACAACACATATTTATAATTTTAATAATATTTCACAAATTTCACAATATTACTGTTTTTTTCTGTATTTTTGATCAAATAAATGCAGACTTGATGAGCATAAGAGACTTCTTTAAAAAGTAATAAAAATCGTTCTGATCCCAAACTTTTGAACGGCAGTGTATATATATAACCCAAACATGCTTTTGTGAGATTCACCCACAAATATGTTTCAAATCCTCAGGGTTTACATTATGGGGCTCGAAGTACTCGTGGATGTGGAACGCAGTGGATGTCGGGCCGAAGCGGGATCTGGTGGATGAGATCGCCACCGCTCTGCGGGCACACAGTGATTTGCGTCTGGGTCTCTACCACTCTTTATTTGAGTGGTTTAACCCTCTGTACAAAGCTGATGCTGACAAGTCCTTCAATACCAGTGTGTTTCCTACCACAAAGACCCTGCCCGAACTGTTCGAGATCGTCAACAAGTACAAACCTGAGGTGCTGTGGTCTGATGGTGACGGAGATGCGCCCGACTCTTACTGGAACAGCACAGGGTTCCTCGCCTGGCTTTATAACGAGAGGTAAGGCCACATAAACGGAAGTGTCGTTCATAGTTACACAGCGAGGTTGAAACCGAGAAGCCAACAGATAGAGAAAAATATCCAATTCAAAGTCTATTTCCTTTAACCCACTGCAATTCTGGTGTAATTGTGACCCTTGTGGTCAATACAGCCCATAGACAATAAGCGTAACATTTTTTGAGAGGATTTCATTGTATTAGATGATATTCACCTCTAAATTATGCACCATTTATTTCTATATAAAATAATACAAATATTAGAAAACAAATTAATATATATATATATATATATATATATATATTATATTATTATTATTATTATGTTTTTTTAATTTATTAATACTGTGTTAAAGTTAAAAATAGGTAGCAACGTTATTTAAAATCCATTGCATTGAAAGCAGATTGATGGGAATAAAATAAAGAAAATCATGTCATACAATGGTATAACCTCTAGATTGCAATTCTGGTGTAATTGTGACCCTTGTGGTCAATACAGCCCATAGACAATAAGCGTAACATTTTTTGAGAGGATTTCATTGTATTAGATGATATTCACCTCTAAATTATGCATTCTATATTTCTATATAAAATAATACAAATATTAGAAAACAAATTAATATATATATATATATATATATATATATATATATATATATATTATATTATTATTATGTTTTTTTAATTTATTAATACTGTGTTAAAGTTAAATAGGTAGCAACGTTATTTAAAATCCATTGCATTGAAAGCAGATTGATGGGAATAAAATAAAGAAAATCATGTCATACAATGGTATAACCTCTAGCTGCCTGTATGACCCTATGAAATACATATATGTAATTTTATAATTACTTTTATTAGGTTTTGCATTGTATTTGGATATTTAGACATGATCAAAGACTACGTCATCCTTTCTGATTTGTAAATTGTACCCCAAAAATTGCCATATTTCCCATTAATTTCCCCATTTTATTTTAAGAAATTGGCACAATTTACAAATGTTTGTATTCATATAGCAAGTTTAATACCACTTTGATGTAAAAAAAAACATTATCCTGTTTTAAAATGATCACCAGAACGTAGCCTCAGAAAAATCAATCACTGATAAAACTCTACTGTAAAACCATTATGTTTTGTGATTTACATGAACTAAAAGATCCTTAATTTAGATTTTATCTTGGATCTTGCTTTGTAAATTTGCTAGATCATAAATATAATCGTAGAGAATGGAAACCGGTTACATACTGGAACTTTCTAAGTGAAGGTGTCTTTGCTGTCATGTAGCCGAACCGATGGCTAATGTGTGTTTTCAGCCCTGTGCGTGACACTGTTGTGACCAATGACCGCTGGGGATGTGGAACTATATGTAAGCATGGCGGATATTACACCTGCTCAGATCGCTACAACCCCGGACACCTGCTGAAACACAAGTGGGAGAACTGCATGACCATTGACAAGAAGTCATGGGGGTACAGGAGAGACACCAACTTCAGCGACTTCCTCACCATTGAGCAGCTGATAGCAGTGAGTTTACTTTTACATTCACTCAGATGCTTATGTGCGAGAGTGACTTACACATGAGGAATGCTGCAGCAAGCCAGTGTCTTTCTTGAGCTACAGTACATTTTAATTTTTAATGCCTGGATCCATTTGTAATTGTGATGTATTGAGGAAATTAGTTAGTACAGTTGAGGTCATTTTACTGTAACATGCTGTAAGAACCTCTACAAGGGCAAGAAGAAAGTAACATTTGTGTAATCATTTTTAGAAACCATATGAAACATCATTGTTATTATTGCTTATACTTCAAACGGCGTGATAATAACCATGTATCTGCAGCAATAGTAAACGGTCATCAACATTATGGCTTTCGTATTCCAGACTACTGTTCCATCTTTTTAACTTATAAATAAACAATAAACTTAAATTAAACTGAAACTTCAAATGGTGTGTGAGTATATTGTGGGTATCATAATATCATTAAGGCTTGGGTGTGCCTCTTTTTCCAGTAAAAAACTGCTTAGCAACCACACACAATCCCCTAGCAACCGTATATCAGTGTATTAACAACCATTTAGAGCATTGTGGTAGAGAAATAAAAGGTTAGAAAGTGAATTCACATAGGTTATTATTTTCTATTGTTTTTTTTATTATATATATATATATATATATATATATATATATATATATATATATATATTATATTATTATTATGTTTTTTTAATTTATTAATACTGTGTTAAAGTTAAATAGGTAGCAACGTTATTTAAAATCCATTGCATTGAAAGCAGATTGATGGGAATAAAATAAAGAAAATCATGTCATACAATGGTATAACCTCTAGCTGCCTGTATGACCCTATGAAATACATATATGTAATTTTATAATTACTTTTATTAGGTTTTGCATTGTATTTGGATATTTAGACATGATCAAAGACTACGTCATCCTTTCTGATTTGTAAATTGTACCCCAAAAATTGCCATATTTCCCATTAATTTCCCCATTTTATTTTAAGAAATTGGCACAATTTACAAATGTTTGTATTCATATAGCAAGTTTAATACCACTTTGATGTAAAAAAAAACATTATCCTGTTTTAAAATGATCACCAGAACGTAGCCTCAGAAAAATCAATCACTGATAAAACTCTACTGTAAAACCATTATGTTTTGTGATTTACATGAACTAAAAGATCCTTAATTTAGATTTTATCTTGGATCTTGCTTTGTAAATTTGCTAGATCATAAATATAATCGTAGAGAATGGAAACCGGTTACATACTGGAACTTTCTAAGTGAAGGTGTCTTTGCTGTCATGTAGCCGAACCGATGGCTAATGTGTGTTTTCAGCCCTGTGCGTGACACTGTTGTGACCAATGACCGCTGGGGATGTGGAACTATATGTAAGCATGGCGGATATTACACCTGCTCAGATCGCTACAACCCCGGACACCTGCTGAAACACAAGTGGGAGAACTGCATGACCATTGACAAGAAGTCATGGGGGTACAGGAGAGACACCAACTTCAGCGACTTCCTCACCATTGAGCAGCTGATAGCAGTGAGTTTACTTTTACATTCACTCAGATGCTTATGTGCGAGAGTGACTTACACATGAGGAATGCTGCAGCAAGCCAGTGTCTTTCTTGAGCTACAGTACATTTTAATTTTTAATGCCTGGATCCATTTGTAATTGTGATGAACTTTGTGATGTATTGAGGAAATTAGTTAGTACAGTTGAGGTCATTTTACTGTAACATGCTGTAAGAACCTCTACAAGGGCAAGAAGAAAGTAACATTTGTGTAATCATTTTTAGAAACCATATGAAACATCATTGTTATTATTGCTTATACTTCAAACGGCGTGATAATAACCATGTATCTGCAGCAATAGTAAACGGTCATCAACATTATGGCTTTCGTATTCCAGACTACTGTTCCATCTTTTTAACTTATAAATAAACAATAAACTTAAATTAAACTGAAACTTCAAATGGTGTGTGAGTATATTGTGGGTATCATAATATCATTAAGGCTTGGGTGTGCCTCTTTTTCCAGTAAAAAACTGCTTAGCAACCACACACAATCCCCTAGCAACCGTATATCAGTGTATTAACAACCATTTAGAGCATTGTGGTAGAGAAATAAAAGGTTAGAAAGTGAATTCACATAGTTTAAGAAAATATATTGTCCAGGCATATGCTAATGTGAAAAGCTTTGGGTCTTTTTTGTTCACCAAGGCTGCATTTATTTGATCAAAAATACTGTTAAAACAGTAATATTGTGGAAATATTATTAGAATTTAAAATAACTGTTTTATATTTAAATATATTTTAAAATGGACTTTATTCCTGTGGTACAAAGCTGAATTTTCAGCATCAATACTCCAGTCTTCAGTGTCACATGATCCTTCAGAAATCATTCTAATATGCCGATTTGCTGCTCAAGAAACATATGCTGAAAATAGTTGTGCTGTTTAATATCTGAAACAGTTTCAGGGTTCTTTGATGAATGGAAAGTTAAAAAAAATTGAAATCTCTTGTAACATTATAAATGTCTTTCCTCTCACATCATTGAATAAAAGTGTTTCATAAAAATAAATCTTACTGAGCCCAAACCTTTGAACGCTAGTGTATCTATGCAAAATCTGAGCATTGAGAAGTCCCCTGCTTATCTTTCAGTCTCTTGTTGAGACCGTGTCCTGCGGGGGGAATTTGCTGTTGAACGTGGGTCCCACACACGCCGGCCGCATCGTGCCCATCTTTGAGGAGCGTCTGCGACAGATGGGCAAGTGGCTCAAGGTCAACGGAGAGGCCATTTACAACAGCAGCGCATGGAGAGTTCAGAACGACACTGTCACTCCTGGAGTTTGGTCAGTTACATTATCATGTACTGTTACATACTGAGCAAAGGTCTGTGTTTCATTTCATGCTTTTATCTTTTTCACCTTTATTTGCTTTTTAATGAAAGTATGGTTTTGTTTTGTCATAACAGGTATACATGGAATCAGAAGAATACAATCTATGCTATTTTCCTTTCATGGCCCGCTGATGGTTATATTGTTCTGAGCGACCCAGTTGTATCATTGTCTAAGACGCAGGTATATTATATTATATATTGTGTATATATATATATATATATATATATATATATATATATATATATATATATATATATATTATATTATTATTATTATTATGTTTTTTTAATTTATTAATACTGTGTTAAAGTTAAAAATAGGTAGCAACGTTATTTAAAATCCATTGCATTGAAAGCAGATTGATGGGAATAAAATAAAGAAAATCATGTCATACAATGGTATAACCTCTAGCTGCCTGTATGACCCTATGAAATACATATATGTAATTTTATAATTACTTTTATTAGGTTTTGCATTGTATTTGGATATTTAGACATGATCAAAGACTACGTCATCCTTTCTGATTTGTAAATTGTACCCCAAAAATTGCCATATTTCCCATTAATTTCCCCATTTTATTTTAAGAAATTGGCACAATTTACAAATGTTTGTATTCATATAGCAAGTTTAATACCACTTTGATGTAAAAAAAAACATTATCCTGTTTTAAAATGATCACCAGAACGTAGCCTCAGAAAAATCAATCACTGATAAAACTCTACTGTAAAACCATTATGTTTTGTGATTTACATGAACTAAAAGATCCTTAATTTAGATTTTATCTTGGATCTTGCTTTGTAAATTTGCTAGATCATAAATATAATCGTAGAGAATGGAAACCGGTTACATACTGGAACTTTCTAAGTGAAGGTGTCTTTGCTGTCATGTAGCCGAACCGATGGCTAATGTGTGTTTTCAGCCCTGTGCGTGACACTGTTGTGACCAATGACCGCTGGGGATGTGGAACTATATGTAAGCATGGCGGATATTACACCTGCTCAGATCGCTACAACCCCGGACACCTGCTGAAACACAAGTGGGAGAACTGCATGACCATTGACAAGAAGTCATGGGGGTACAGGAGAGACACCAACTTCAGCGACTTCCTCACCATTGAGCAGCTGATAGCAGTGAGTTTACTTTTACATTCACTCAGATGCTTATGTGCGAGAGTGACTTACACATGAGGAATGCTGCAGCAAGCCAGTGTCTTTCTTGAGCTACAGTACATTTTAATTTTTAATGCCTGGATCCATTTGTAATTGTGATGTATTGAGGAAATTAGTTAGTACAGTTGAGGTCATTTTACTGTAACATGCTGTAAGAACCTCTACAAGGGCAAGAAGAAAGTAACATTTGTGTAATCATTTTTAGAAACCATATGAAACATCATTGTTATTATTGCTTATACTTCAAACGGCGTGATAATAACCATGTATCTGCAGCAATAGTAAACGGTCATCAACATTATGGCTTTCGTATTCCAGACTACTGTTCCATCTTTTTAACTTATAAATAAACAATAAACTTAAATTAAACTGAAACTTCAAATGGTGTGTGAGTATATTGTGGGTATCATAATATCATTAAGGCTTGGGTGTGCCTCTTTTTCCAGTAAAAAACTGCTTAGCAACCACACACAATCCCCTAGCAACCGTATATCAGTGTATTAACAACCATTTAGAGCATTGTGGTAGAGAAATAAAAGGTTAGAAAGTGAATTCACATAGTTTAAGAAAATATATTGTCCAGGCATATGCTAATGTGAAAAGCTTTGGGTCTTTTTTGTTCACCAAGGCTGCATTTATTTGATCAAAAATACTGTTAAAACAGTAATATTGTGGAAATATTATTAGAATTTAAAATAACTGTTTTATATTTAAATATATTTTAAAATGGACTTTATTCCTGTGGTACAAAGCTGAATTTTCAGCATCAATACTCCAGTCTTCAGTGTCACATGATCCTTCAGAAATCATTCTAATATGCCGATTTGCTGCTCAAGAAACATATGCTGAAAATAGTTGTGCTGTTTAATATCTGAAACAGTTTCAGGGTTCTTTGATGAATGGAAAGTTAAAAAAAATTGAAATCTCTTGTAACATTATAAATGTCTTTCCTCTCACATCATTGAATAAAAGTGTTTCATAAAAATAAATCTTACTGAGCCCAAACCTTTGAACGCTAGTGTATCTATGCAAAATCTGAGCATTGAGAAGTCCCCTGCTTATCTTTCAGTCTCTTGTTGAGACCGTGTCCTGCGGGGGGAATTTGCTGTTGAACGTGGGTCCCACACACGACGGCCGCATCGTGCCCATCTTTGAGGAGCGTCTGCGACAGATGGGCAAGTGGCTCAAGGTCAACGGAGAGGCCATTTACAACAGCAGCGCATGGAGAGTTCAGAACGACACTGTCACTCCTGGAGTTTGGTCAGTTACATTATCATGTACTGTTACATACTGAGCAAAGGTCTGTGTTTCATTTCATGCTTTTATCTTTTTCACCTTTATTTGCTTTTTAATGAAAGTATGGTTTTGTTTTGTCATAACAGGTATACATGGAATCAGAAGAATACAATCTATGCTATTTTCCTTTCATGGCCCGCTGATGGTTATATTGTTCTGAGCGACCCAGTTGTATCATTGTCTAAGACGCAGGTAATGTATACTGTAGATATAAAAAATAATCAAAATTTAACAATTGATTGTTCGCTAAGCACCTACCTTTAAATGTTAGCAGCCAACCCTACCTTAGTCACAGTAATGATTGCTTTTATTCAACAAGGATGCATTAAAATGATCAGAAGTGACAGTAAAGACATTTATAATGTAACAAAAGATTTCTATTTCAAACAAATGCCATTCTTTTGAACTTTCTATGCATGAAATAATCCTGAAAAAGTGTTTCCACGAAAATCTGAAGCAGCACAACTGTTTTCAACACTGATAATAATCAGAAATATTTCTTGAGCAGCAAATATTAGAATTTTCTCATTCTTAGATTTAGAAAATTAGAATGATTTCTGAAGGATCACGTGACACTGAAGACTGGAGTAATGATGCTGAAAATCCAGCTTTGATCACACGAATAAATTCTATTTGAACATAAATGACAATAGAACATAGTTATTTTAAATTATAATAATATTTGACAATATAAATGTTTTAAAGCCTTGTCGAGCATAGAAGACTTCTTGCAAAAACATAAAAAAATTAGTTTGAGAAGTGTATGTCCCGATTCTGATTGAGTCTCTCAGTTTTTATCAAATGACTGTGCATTATTTATTTAATTATTCAGAACTGATTAATGCAGAAGTTTCAGGACATTCACACTATTTTCTTGTTTCAAAACTAATTTCCAAATCAGGTGGTGATGCTTGGATATCAGTCCCTCTCGTGGGAGTCCATGAAACCCACTGGTCTAAAGGTTCGTCTGCCCCAGCTGGCCCCCAGTCAGATGCCCTGCTCCTGGGCTTGGACCCTGCGACTGACTGGTGCGGTGTAGCCAGAGGATGGCGCCACATTTAGCACATGACTGAAGGGACTATTGGTTTTTTATCCACACATTTTACATTTAAATAACCCCTGTGATTACATGTCCGTCTGGTGTTTGTCATATGCTTAAAGACAAACCATTTGCAAATTCAGCAGTCAACAACATTGCTGAGCATTTTCTCCTTAAAACTTTGGTGTACCAAGACCGTCTCAAAAACCCAGTTTGAAGCCACCCCTGTTTTCTAAGTCACAAACATGTAACCAATCCCGTCAGCCTGTGGGGTGGGGCTTTTCATATTATTATCGCCACTGGTCATAGGTTTCTATTTACAGTGTGTTTTTGCAGCGTTGAGCAGTGTAGCCATAGACATATCTGTTGATTTCATGATTGCAATAGCCAATCAGAGTTAATTAAGTTAGACAGAATCCACTCACCATTCAAAACACTGGAGTTTTGTTCAGTACTGAGTTCTGCATGCTCTGAATCTGCTCAATATTACAAAATAGTAGACGCGATGTAATTAAAGCGATAGTTCACCTAAAAATTACTCACCCTCATGTCGTTCCAAACCCGTAGCTTCATAAAATTATGGTTGAACTACTGATGTCACATGGACTATTTTAACGATGTCCTTACTGCGTTTCTGGGCCTTGAACGTGGTAGTTCCCTTGCTGTCTATGCAGGGTTAGAAAGCTCTCGGATTTCATCAAGAATATCTTAATTTGTGTTCTGAAGATGAACAAACGTCTTACGGGTTTGGAACGTCACATGAGGGTGAGTAATTACAGAATTTTCATTTTTGGGTGAACTATCCCTTTAAGAAATTAATTGTGCAATTAGCTCATCACAAAAAAAGGCATTCCATGAATACTAAATGAGGTAAGGGTATAGAGTTCCATTCAAAAAAAAAAAAGAAATTATTTTCATGGGAACAAAAACTTTTTAATATGTCATTTTGATTATCAAAGAGTTTTAAGGGATGAAATTAGTGACTGCAGGGGGACTTTAAAAAATAAGGTTACAAAAATAATATATATTTAAAATGTACATCTTTATGAACGAATTCTATTGTTTAATTGTTGCGTAGTGTCTCCTGGTATGGGACGCAAACTGGAGAGGTGTGCTGCTACTTTGCTAAATGATCAGAAGTGAGCGTTTTTGCCTGGCAGACATTAAAACAACTGAAAAAAACCCTGTTTTTGCAGCACCTATTGTTTGTTTTAATTATTGTTTATGCTGTTACATTTTGAATTTCTAAAAAAACACTTTTTTATCATTAATGATATTTAGAATCGAAAATACACTGGCAAATAAAGCACCTTAAACATGCACTATATTAAAAAACAAATAAATAAAAACTAAGGTCTTAATCTGAAGCCAGCTGTCTTTTGAAAACAACATTTTCATATTATGAGATAAATTGATATTTTGTTTATTTGCATAATTCTTTTTCAAAATGAATAAACAGATATATGAAGTTTAGCATCACAGTGTCTGGTTGTAAATCATTTTTTTTGTATTCCAGAACATCCATAAAAACAGGTGAGCAAAATATTTAAATAATTATATAATATTTTATCGTATAATATTTTATGTTAGTGTCTCAGATAAAGCACTTAGATAAAGATGATTATTTATTATTCACTGAAAAATAATATATTAATATTTTGATTTATATTTTAAATTATATTTTTATTATATGATATTTTTATATTGTCTGTTTTGTTTAAGCTTTAATAGATTTTTGTGGTTTTTTATTCATTAGGGGGGTTCATTATTTTTTCAGTTTTAGTTATAGGAAATGTATTACTTCAACTTTAATTTTATTTTAGTTCGTTGCCAAGGCAACATTTCTATCTCATTTTAATGTATTTTTTTATATATTTTGTTTTAGCTTTATTTAAATATACACATTTTTTTAATAGTTTTTGTTAACAGCAGTTAACTATAACAGCATGGGGTCTTACTTATCTAGCTTATGTTCGTTTGAATAAAGCAGTGTGTGGCAGCCTGAGCTACCCATAATGCTCTGCTCATGGCCATCTTTGGAATCGGAGAGCATCACATGCTGCACACGTGCCACTGCTCCCATATCAGAAACTCCCTATCTGAGTTATTCAGGCCAGCTGTGCCAAGAATAGTCCTGCACTGTTTATGAACATCACAGCCGCTTTGACTCACTCTGCTGGGGGAAAAATTCACAATTAGCAACACAATGTTCCCCTTACATGTGAGATTCCCTTTTTGGCCCGTTTTCCATCTTTCATCATGCTTTCCAAATGCAAGTGTGTGTGTGTGTGTGTGTGTGTGTTTTGGCAGGTGTCTGGAGCGGGGTGAGCCTGCCACTGGGAGGTAAAGTAGGAAGGACCTTTGGGCTTCCAGAGCCAATCTTCCATTACGTGTAGTACAACAGAATGAGGGGGTCTGCGAGGGGATTTCGTCCTGCTTTCTGCATGTGCACTACATGTGCTGCACTCTCAGAAAAAAAAGATACAAAGCTGTCACTGGGCCGGAACTCTAAGGTACAAAAGCTAAAAGGTACATCTTTGTATCTTATTACTCCTAAATGGAACATATTAGTACCTTAAAGATACATATTAATACTTTAAAAGTACATATTAGTACCTTTTGAAAGGGTCCCACCCCAGTGACAGTTTTTCTGTTCATAACACAATTAGATGCAGTGCCATTATTAGATGTACAGAAAAGTCAATCTGGTTGCTTAACAAATCATATAATGTGTCATAACAGGGGATGCATTATGCATTATTTTTTAAAGTTCAGCCTTACATAAAAAATGTTAGTCTTTAGTTACTGACCCTCAATATTCCTTAAATTGTTTAATTCGACTGGAAACTAAAAAGTTAACTAAAACATAAAAAAACACGTTTGTTTGTTGAAATAAAATAAATGTTAAAGGGGTGGTTCACTGTTTTTTTCTAGGCTTGATTGTGTTTATGGGGTTCAGTCTAACATGTGTTAATGCTTCGTTTTTAAAAAAATGCATTATTTTTCACATAATTGACCTTTAGTCCACACCGCTCTCTGTCCCTTCTCTGAGAAACACACTGATCATGTCCTTCTTTTATGAAGCCCCTCCCTCAGAAATAGACGATGGGCTCTGATTGGTTATCTAGCCCAGTGTGTTGGGATTGGCAAAACCGCCTCTAGTGCGCATTTGAACGACCAGCCCCTCACCTCAGCTGCATATGCTCCGGTTGTATTGTAAACAATGGCGACGATAAAGGGGTCATATGATGCAGTGTTAATGCTTCGTTTTTAAAAAAATGCATTATTTTTCACATAATTGACCTTTAGTCCACACCGCTCTCTGTCCCTTCTCTGAGAAACACACTGATCATGTCCTTCTTTTATGAAGCCCCTCCCTCAGAAATAGACGATGGGCTCTGATTGGTTATCTAGCCCAGTGTGTTGGGATTGGCAAAACCGCCTCTAGTGCGCATCTGAACGACCAGCCCCTCACCTCAGCTGCATATGCTCCGGTTGTATTGTAAACAATGGCGACGATAAAGGGGTCATATGATGCGATTTCAATTTTTCCTTTCTCTTTGGAGTGTTACAAGCTGTTCGTGAATAGATAAGATCCCTAAAGTTGCAAAGACTAAAGTCTCAAACCCAAAGAGATATTCTTTATAAAAGTTTAAACACGCCCCAACATGTCTACATCACTGTGTGGGAAGATTTGCATAACACGCCCAAATGTTCAAGCAAAGACAGAAGGCGTAACTTTCATTCTTGCTCTAGTATTGTTGCTGCCTCTGCCGCCATGTTGTGGAGACGCTGTGTGTTTCGTTGTGAAAGCGAAACTACTTTGTTTGGTCTTCCTACAGAGGGCACGACTAGAAATCAGTGGTTAAGTTGTATTTACAACACTGTTCCAGAACAGTTCAAACCAAATATTTGTGTGTGTGCAATGCATTTAACAGAGGACTGTTTCCTGATCCTACAATGCCGGCTGTTCTGACTCCCAACCTAAGTATGCTTTCATATTTAAAGAATTTGCCACTGACAATAGAAAGACAGTATAAGTCATTATAATCAGTAATTATGTCCCCACTGGATGCAACAAATGCCTCTTTTATAATGGGTTTTATTGGTTTTGTCTCGTCGCGCCGGTACACTGCATCACAGTATGGTAAGGGTAGGGCTGGGCGATAATTTGATAACGATAATTATCACGATATAATTTTACTTGAGAAAACTATATGAGGAGTTCGACAAATGTTCCATATAATGTTTATGCACCAAAAGTGGAATGAAACAGCGCGACTCATTTGAATCGCGCCACACGGACCGTTTATCCGCACGGATCAAAGGTCAAACTGCCGCACGGCACGAGCTCACTAGAGCAGATGTGTTTACGTTACTCGGTCACACGAGCATTAAAGGGGTCATATGATGTTGCTAAAAAGAACATTATTTTGTGTATTTGGTGTAATGAAATGTTTTTGCGTTTTAAGGTTAAAAAACACATTATTTTCCACATACTGTACATTATTGTTTCTCCTCTATGCCCCGCCTTTCTGAAACGCGTCGATTTTTACAAAGCTCATCGGTCTGAAAAGCGAGGTGTGCTCTGATTGGCCAGCTATCCAGTGTGATGTGATTGGCCGAATTCCTCAAGCGTGTGACGGAAATGTTACGCCCCTTACCATCCTCTCCGGCCGGAGCGACGAGACATAAACATGAAAACCCATTATAAACGAGGCATTTGTTGCATCCAGTGGGGACATAATTACTGATTATAATGACTTATACTGTCTTTTTTTCGCGTTGCGTTGCATCGCGCCGCGTAAAGATAAAACCATGTCTGCATTTGTGATTGGAGAAATGACAAACAGCAAGTGCTACTCTACACTGCTCGCGTTTGAATCATCAGTGGCAAATCCGTAAAATGAAAACGTCAGAACAGCCGGCATTGTAGTCTACTCTCCCAGGATCAGGAAACAGTC